ACTGACGACACAGAAGAATATTCATAAATTAATTGAATTTTTTTCTGGTTAATTTCTGAACGAACAATCAGTTTTTGACACTAAGACTTGACAGTTCAATATTTGACATTGACAGCATAACAATATACATAACCTCAAAAGTGTCATGCTCGCGTGAGTAAACTAGTTGTATTCGTAACAAAAATAATTTAATAATCAGTTTTAATACTAGTAAATTGCATTAAAATCATCAAAAATGGCTGAACAAGTAAATCAACGTATTGAGGATATGATCAATGAGTTGGAGCAGATGAGAAGAACACAAATGTATGATGACGAGGAAATAAAGTAAGGAACTACTTACTTTTATTTCATTATTTCATTTTTCGGGAAAACACTATGTAATTTAAACTATATACGTACAAAAACCAATAAAATCTATATTAGTATAGTTAAAACATTGAGTTCAGTTCATAAATCGCAATATTTACATAAATACCACGTCGGTTTCACACAAAGATAATGTTGCTAAAATTTAATCATGTAATGTTTTTACAGAGAAATATCACGAAAAAGAAAGGAATTTGAGTACCATATACAAAGAAGAGTGAAACAGAAGGAAGATTTTGCTCAATACATAGCTTATGAAATGGCTTTGCTTGAGGACATCTCTTTGAGACGGAAAAAGGCTAAACTGAGTGAAAAGAAGAAGGATATTGAGTATGCTATAGCTAAACGTGTGAACAAAGTGTTCAAACAATTTATATACAGATTTCAAGACGATTTAGAAGTATACTTTGAGTACATCAAGTTTTGCCAGAGTGTAGGATTTGATTACGCCATTTCTGGAATTATTGGACAGATGTTACAGGTTTGTTATGATATATTTATTGTTGTTGCATGAAGTATCATGTATACTGTACACAGTAAGTATACTGTACGAAACAACATTAAATTTTTAATTTTGTAGAGGTAAATAGAGATGTATAAATTAAATATAACACTTTTAGTTTTACGAGTTATTTTACTTCAACAGCCCATATTCGAATTATGAATTTAGGCCATGTATTAGGCAGTATACCTAAAAGTGCGTCTTCACCAGGAGTATTCCACATGTAATGTAACATTATATATTTGACTTCGAGCACTACATTACAATAATACCTCTCTGACTAACGAGCATTTGCTTGTAATGTAACAACAAGCATTTGCATGTAATGTAACATATTGATTAGACTAGAGCATTTCATAGCAATATGTCAAGTGGAGCACATTGATGGTACAAGTTGTAGTCCATGGGCGACGCCGATTGCTTATCATTAGGTGATCCGTCTACTTGTTTAGCAGCTTATGCCATAAAAAAAAATAATAACCCCTTATCCAATAGAATAAGTACATCTCTTTCCCCAACAGGAAGATAGTGATTGACTGATATGTATTTATGCTCGTCATTATGTGAATGCTATAACTGTCTATTTAATAATATTTACTACAATGTTGTTATCTAATCATTATTCTGCAAGTAAATAAATATATTTTTCCAGATTCACGGTGACAAGCCAAAGATCTGGCAGTTGGCAAGTAAATGGGAGAGTAAAGAACAGAATAACTTGGATAATGCGAGGAACTTCTTACTGAAGGGAGTTCAAAGACATCCTGACTCTGAAGTTTTGTATCTGGAGTTGTTTGATATTGAACTCATTGCCTTAACATTTAAAAGTGTTGATGAGGAAGAAGACAGGGTAAGATTGGATACTTATTATGTGAAGTGATAATATTAGCTGTGAGCACTGCTGAACATTCACCCTTAGTATAGAGTACCTTAATTTTAATAGCGTAATGAATGCTTAAATTTGTTAGATTTGTTGCATAAACTTCCTGAAACTGCCTGAATACTACTATACTTATTATACTCTTTGGTTGTACTTAAATATAGTGCTATCTCTCTACACTTATTATATAAAACTAAACATTTGGTTTGAAAGTGCCAATCTCACGAACAACTGGTCTGATCTGAATAATATTTTTTGTGTTGGATACTCGATTGACCGAAGAAGGCCGTAAACCATAAAACCTCACGCTACAATTGATAGAAGCCTAGTAGAGCTGGGGTAAAACCACGCAAGCGGAGCTCTTGGTCATATAGTGCTGACTTTGCAGGTTCTTATTTTATCATGTTTTTAATAATTATGTTTGCTATCATATTAATTAGCAACATTTATTATCTTGTTGTCTATATAATTTTTATAAAGTCAGCATTAAAATTCAGAAGTCAGTATGGTAACTGAAGGTACTGAAAATATAATATTCATGCTAAGTTTTTATATGAATATTTTTTGTTTACAGCTAATTAGTTAGTTATCTAAATGTCTATAATTATTATGGTTTTTTTATTTGCAGGAAAAGCAAGTAAAAAGAGCAGATATTGTTTGGAGAAATGGCGCTAAAAATATTAAAAGCCCTAAATTCCTTTTTGATGTCTTTGATCTATGTAGGAAATATGAAATCAAAGAATCATTTGTTGATGACATAAAGAAGGAGATATGGCTAAGAAATGACAGCAAAGATGTTTGGTCTTACATTGCTGCAAAGGAATTGGATGTAAGTTCCCAGTTTTTTGTTGTATATTCAAAAATGAACTTAATAGTTTTGTAATAAGGCATTCTATTGCAGGGTTGTCACTGGGAAGAAATTGAAGAATTTGTGGATGAAGAGAATAATTTTTCAAAAGAAGTAAACTATTATGTAGGAGTTTATGAAGAGGCTTTGCAGAAGGTTAGTTCATCATCAACTTGTTTCTGGCCCCTGCTGGACATAGACTATATCAACAGGGTGCTACTGCACATGGTCTTCAACTCTTAATATTTGACCACTGCCTGCTAATGAGTGCTTATAATTAGTCCATGTTTCTACTGGCCACCTGTGCTTTTTGCTAATGCAGTTTTCAGTTTCACTCTATACAGATAAATAAATTTGGAGTGTCTGATTGTATAATCGCATATGAATATACAAATATCAAAATAACATTTTTTACGAATTTTGTCTGTTTGTACTGGCTAATCTCTGGAATGGCTGGACTGATTTTTACAGGACTTTTATTGACAGTTAGCTGATGTACTAAGGAGTAACATAGGCTAGTTTTATTTTGGAAAATTAAAAAAAAGTTATGTCCTAAATTCATATTCTAGGCGGACAAAGTCGCGGGCAACAGCTAGTTTATAATATGTATAGAAACATTCTGTCGTTGACAGCTTTATAATAAAATTATTTCTTCAGTTCCCAGATGAAACATTATGTACGAAATACATTCATGACCTGCTTGGTGCCAGTGATAGTGTGTGCAGTGACCAACAGAAGATAAGTGCCGTTAAACACGCCTGGAAATATGGTCGTGAAAATGGATTGCTTTCAAATGACATGTTTGCTTTTGGACTAGAAATCTTGAAACTGGAAAATGAAACATCTGATGAGGAGTTGATGGAGGTATGTGTTTGTAATCATCTTATGAGTATTTAGTTTTTCATACTAGTACATACTAATAATTGGATAGCTAAAAATCGCGGATTACTCACGTGAATATACCTACTGAGAAAAGCCCGGTTGTGGCGACGTCGCGCAGCCTACCAGACATTGCCGCAGCCTGCTCATGAGGAAGAGCCCCTTTGTGACTTGACAGTAATCCGCGATTTTTATTTGATTTAGTATGTCTCATGATAGTTATTATAGAAATCCATTCATCTACAGTTATAAAAAATGAATGATTTAATTTTTTTATGTAAAATTAGAATAATAGAATTGCTTGTTGAAACAAAATATTATGTTATTCAATTTGGTATTGCATAATTTGTAAAAGTAGTCTTTATTAAATTATTTTCTTTTCTTTTCAGATACTGGACTCAGCAATAAAAATTAATCCTAAACTAAGGTGTGTTTGGGAAGAAAAGATTCTACTATGTAAATCAGATGAGAAGAAAATGTTGTCCGTACTACAAACTGTGAAAGGATTGAAATCTGATGACATGTTGCATCTTTATAATCTAGTGTTGGATAACGTTGATAGTGACGTAGCAGTAAGTTTGATAATATTGTATGTTGTCTTTGAAAGACTGCTTTGTTGGCCGAGTGGTCGCAAGTGCGACTGCCGGACAAATGGTCTTGGGTTCGATTCCTGGGTCGGGCAAAGTATTACTGGGTTTTTAAAACAAAGTCTTAGTAGTATCATGGAGTTTGGAATTGTGCCCGGTATATGACAATAGGCTCACCCCCTATTACCCGAGACTCATAGCATAAATAGTGAAAAGTGGATGTTACATAGTACAGTGGCATAATGTGCACCTCTGCCTACCCCTTCGGGGATAAAAGGTGTGATGTTATGTTATCTGTAAAATTATTTTATTATGCAATATTCAAATTTATTGATAAATACTCGTTTTTTCCAGCTAAAGAATCTGTACAAAAAGTTCCAGAGCTGTGAGAATGCTGTATTGCTAGCAATCAAACCTAAACTCTTGCAGAAAATGTATGAAAAGAATGGATTAAGAGCTGCAAGAGACTTGTATGAAGACCTGATTAGAACTCCACCCACCCAGATTGACGTGCACACAAATATGGTAGACATTGAAATGTCTCAGGAGAAACCAAACCCTAAGAACATTAGGAAGTGTTATGAATGTGCTGTGCAACATCATGGCACTGATAATGTAGACATCTGGACCAAGTACATGCAGTTTGAAACAGAGCACAATCCTCAAGCCACTCCTGCCATCTACAGAAGAGCTGTGGGCACATTGAAAAAGGAACATGTCGACCAATTTATAAGAGCACAGACATTAGCTAAAATAAAATAAATGTTGTTTTCAGAACCATGAGTTTTATTACGATAAGTTATCTCAACAGATACATTCAAAGAAAACTGATATTAATATGCCTTATCTTAACCTTGAAAATTCAAAATATTGCAAGTAATGTCAAATATTGTTGTAAAAATAATAATAAATTGTTATAAAATAACAAAGCATCTGTCAAATAAAATATATTTATTTAATAATAACCACACCTTGACTCAACAATCTAGCAAAACGAATATCCGCATGGTACACCATTTATACTAAATTATTTACATAGTTTCATTGTACATATCCTTTATTCTCTACTACGAGGTTGAGACTACTTTGGTGATCATGGAATAACACTTAGCTAATAAAAATAAATGCAAATACATTTAGGATAGAGTGACTACTGCATGGCTGCGATGGGGGCAATGTAGTACCTAAAGATTAGGGACGATCCACGCTTGTGCTGCTTGTTTCTCAGCAAGTCCCTCCAGCAGGCTTGCCAAGACGGGTACTTGGGCATATTGGGTGGGTTGCCAGCAGACAGGCTGCAGCCAGCCACAGCCATGCAGGTGGACACCACAACCAGCGGATAAGTGATAGTGCTAGTCACAAAAGTCAACAGTGGTACTGTGTAGTATCGCAGATCTTTAGTTTTGACCAGGTATTTGTTCACATAGTAAGCCAAAACTCCTGTCACTGCAACACAAGTTAAATCACCAAGAAGTTTCGGTATGATACCGTGAAAGAACCCACGGATGCCATCATCTCTGTAGATAGATACAATTGCACCAAACAATGTGCTATAATCTTGCTCTTTGCCAATAAATGAGGCCATCATTCTGACAGACACAACATGGAATGGATAGGACACGATGACAGAAGCCGTGTGCATTATCATGTCCCGACGGCCCAGCCTGATGTAATCTTCAACCTTGGGTTCCTCATCAGTAACAATATTGGGAGGGTCATTGATTTCTGGCAAATCAATACCCATCGCGTAGATTACCTTAGATGTCAGCTGACTGGAAGCTATCAGCCCGAGTACTCTCGCCGATAGGCCTCTGTAGCAGCCGAAAAATCCATCCGATGTTTTGATAAACTTGATGTATTGGAAAACGTTAGGTAATATCATGGCAGGGCGTCCAAACAGTGTCGTAGACCGGCGCGGCGGTAAGGGCTCGTATCCCAGTTGTATGAGTACTTTCGCATATTCCATAGGATGGCATATTGTAGTTACGAGCAACTGTGACGGCAGAGCCGCTATTTTTTCTTTTTCAATTTCGTCCATGTCAATATCGAGTTCTTCTGAAATCAAAAATGACTATCCAAAGACATTCAATAAATGTCAAACTGTTTTGGGTTGCCAGATAATTTATAGACTTGCTAAAATCTATGACAAAAAATAGAGATTTTAGGTTTTATACAAAAATTCCAAATATTTTATAATACATTTTTTTAATGTCCTTGGATACTACATTATACAAAACGATCTAAAATTAAAAGTCTTTTTATGTCAGTTATAATATTATACAAATTATTGGAACAATAAAGCAAATTTCTTATCAATAGTGTTTGTGTTCAAATAGTTGAATAAATAAAAAATATACACGACTATCGTAGATTGGAGTTTCTTGTCTTAATTTCAAGGTCAGTGTAGAATTTTTCTGGATAAGTTGTTAACTACCATATCCTGCCGAATTATTACCGTTTCACGTAAATAAGTCCTCGCAATCCAGCCATCGCGAAGGACACACCGGGCGTCGGGGATCGCGAGACGATCTCCGGCCACCGTAAGCGCGGGCTTGCGGACGGCGAGCATGGGTGGCTCCCTGTCCTACCAGAAACAGACCCGAGCGTACGGCGCGTCGCGTTCCGCGCGCGCCTCAAAGAGCCATGAGACCACCACAGATGGGGCCCAACAGGGCCGATGCCGATTCGCAGTCGCGGAGAACCTAACGGGTAACCGGGGCTCCGGCTCGACGTGCAGGAGAAGGAACGGGGTCGTTTTTAGTCAGTAAGAGTCTGACACTCCCTCTCGCCTTACCCAGGCGGGAGCATTCATTCGACGATTTTCCCCCTTAAAATCAACTGATTTCCGATGGTATATATATATTCCGATTACGTTTATGATATTCACCAGATATTATTTTCTTTTAATTATCTGTTTGTTACTCCCGGAAAACTTTCCAGGCAACCCCATTTCCTTCTTAATGTTCGAACTACTATAGACAACGTACCGTAAGTTTTATCCCTAAAAAGTATTTACACCAAAAACCCTGTATAAGTTTGTCGAATGATAGGTTGCCCGCCAGTGGACCTGACGCCGTAATACTAGGGCCGACAGTCGATATTACCTACCTTGAAATATAAATGCAAAGTGAATTTTGTGTGGTTGTGTGAATGTTTGTTACTCAGTTACATTCAAACGGCTGAAGGGACCGAGATGAAATTTGGAACAGATGTAGATTATGGTCTAGTGTAATACATAGGTTACTTTTTACAGACGAAACCTCTGGCAGAAGCTAGTATATTAATCAAATCATTATGTTCAATTAGTGGTATATCTAAGTCCTGGATCAGCTCAGGGACGGGATGACCCCCATGACCCGCCCCCCTGGATCCGTCCTTGGTGGTTAGCAACTCTCAATAAATTATTTTAGAATGCCGAGGCATTCCAAAGGAATCTTTCCATGGATATTGATAAATTATGATTCGTGAGTTCTTAAGCATAGATAAATATATTGTATATTATCAAGGATGTAATGTAAGAAAAAATAAGTGTTTAGATACAAAATATTTATTTGGTAACTAAGCAGTAGACGTAAGAAGCTCGTTTGTGTCATCTTCATCTATTTTATAAGGCAACTGCGTCGTCAAATTAGTTTGTGTCGGCGGTCCCTCCTTGTTGATGTTCTTGCGACCGTTAATATGGGGCTGTTGCTGTTGATTCTGGAAATAGGATTGAGATTTAAACTTCTATAGGTATATAAATAAATATATAAAAGAATGTCGTGTTAGTTACACTATTTATAACTCAAGAACAGCTAAATCGATTTGGATAAAATGGTTGATGGGGAAGTAGCTTAGAGCCAGGAGACGGATATGGGATATTTTGTATCCAATATTTCTTTTTACCTTTTTACCGAAAATCACGAACGGGAACGGGAAAAACGGGATTATACGTACCAAGTCGCGGGCAAAATACTTAATAAGTATATTCGATCAATTCACTTAAACTTAATTAAAATTTCTGTATTGATTTAAGTTTTTAACAAAAACTCCATACAATCTAGACTCTAGATTAAGTCTAAATTTGTAGATTGTAGAGAATTAAATTGAAATAGGTTATTAATTTCGTGATACATTTCACCAGCAATGAATGTTTAAGTCCAATTTTTCTTTTAAAGGAAGTACATAGAAATCTATTAATATTCCATTACATAGAATCAGAATGTTTTTATCTAGTTTGAATCTAATATTCCAATTACAATTTTCTCTATGGGCAATAATAATTGGAAGATAGTAGGTACATAGTTGATAGCTATACAAACCTCTTCACTATCAGACGTCGAGGAATCCTCCTTGGATTCGTCATCAGTATCAGGGTCTCCACAGTTGGCTTCGCGATCATTACCATTAACTGTACCTTCACCATCACCGTCATTATCATTATCATCATCATCTGCTTCACTCTCATCATCGGACATTTCATCCTTTTCCTCAAGAGTCTCCCAAACTTTTTCTTTTTCTAACATGTCTGGAAATATTGCTTTTAGGTCAGAATTTAAATGAATAAAGTTAACAAAAGTGTGGGAGAGCCATGCTTTGGCACGAATGGGCCGGCTCGACCGGAGTGATACCACGGCCGCACAGAAAACCGACGTGAAGCAACGCTTGCGTTGTGTTTCGTCGTGTGAGTGAGGTTACCGGAGGCCCAATTACCTTCCCCTTCCCCAATCTCCCCAATTCCTGAATACCCAACGACCCTCAAACTCCCAATCCCCAAAAGGCCGGTAACGTACTTGTAACGCCTCTGGTGTTCTAGGTGTCCATGAGCGACGCCGATTGCTTACCATCAGGTGATCCTTCTGCTCGTTAACCGGCTTATGCCATAAAAAAATAACAACCTATTGGTTAGTTAAAACGATGGTGATGTGATGTATTTTGATATTTAGTTGCCTGTACCAAAGGTTCATATTTGAATATATGGCTGAAAGATTTCTGTACATAGGTACGAAACAGTCAGTTTGTTATAAAATCTCTATAGGTTTTGGCCGATTGTTCGTAAGTGCGAATGTCGGGCAAAGGGTTTCGATTCCCGGGTCGTGCAAAGTATTACTGGGTTTTTTAAAATAATTCCCAGTAGTAGCATGGAGTCTGGAATTGTGCCCGGTATATGGTAGTAGGCTCACCCCCTATTACATGGGACTCATAACATAAATAGTGAAAAGTGAGTGTTACATTGTACAGTGGCATTAACTCGTCGAGTACCGGTTTTGCAGACACAATTATAGAACAATAGGTTGCGGTCACCGGTGACCGCTTGGTGTTTGACAGTTTAAGTGTCGTAATGTGCACCTCTGTCTATCCCCTTCGGGGATAAAAGGCGTGATGTTATGTTGTATTTCATAACAGCAAATACCCAATGAAAAATATCTGATATATCTATTTGAGTGGACCAGTTAGTTTCTACTTAAAATGGACTTGCTTTTTCTTTTATGTCCAAATAATCAAACGCCACAATTTTAAGTCACGCTAAATATAGCTCTGTCACCACAAATTCTTTGTAAAATGATAGAGATGGCACTATATATTTAGTATTCGGGCGTTATATATCTGGCGTTAGTCAATTTTATTTACATACATACATAACAGCACGCCTTTTATCCCCGAAGGGGTAGGTAGAGGTGCACACAGAAGTAACACCCACTTTTCACTATTTATGTTATAAGTTCCATGTAATAGGGGTTGAGCCTATTGGCGGGCCTAGCCAGCCTAACGGGCACATTTCTAGACTCCGTGCTACTACTGAGATTTTTTTTTGAAAACCCAGTAATACTTTGCCCGACCCAGTAATCGAACCCGAGACACTTTGCTCGGCAGTCGCACTTACGACTCGGCCATCCAGGCAGTCAATTTTATTTATCTGTCTTTATTAACGTCTTAACATAAATGTATCTGCTACGTTTTTTGTAATACTTGCCTCTATATCGCAAGCTTCCTTTCCTGCTGATTGAGCCTTCGCTCGGTATCTCCACTATGACCACGGCAGTGTCAATAGTAACTCCGTTGGTTTTTTTCTCACTATCAAGGATTGGGTCATCTGGTATTGGGTCTTTGTTTAACTGAAATAAGTAATGTCAAAGAGATGAGAGAAAATACTAGATTAATGTAAAACGTATGGTGTCTATGATTTATAATTCGTATTTCAGTATTTTCAGACTTGTAATTAGTGCAACGAATAAAAAATCATAGAAAATCTTTTTTGGTAGAATGGACCAGTATGGAGCGTTATAAATGAATGGCCGAATTTGCAGGTTGTAGCATTGAAAATACGTCAGAAGTGTGGGAGAGCCATACTTCGGCACGAATGGTCCGGCTCGACCGGAGTGATACCACCATGGGCGACGCCGATTGCTTACCATCAGGTGATCCGTCCGCTCGTATACAAGCTTATGCCATAAAAAAAAGCTGACCTGCAGAAACGATATGGTTGGCTCCTGTAGTTTCGTCGCATGTTCCTTACTCCTCATGATGTCCTCATTCGTTTGTTTCTCTAGACTCAACTTGTATGCCTTGTGAGTTCGCCACATCTGTATTTTGGGATGAGATGTAAAATATTAGTAAGTTTTTCATGGAAATTAGCATTTAGTGTTCCCAAAAAAATTAAAATAGTTTGGCTCAATGCCGCATGGTCGAAATTAATAACTGATCGATCATAATAAATAACTTTTGACAGTAATTCAACGAAACTATCAAAAATCAGTCCAAATATTTTGGATTGAAATGAAAATGTGAAAATTTCCTTAAATGAAGGATATTTCAGAGGTTTACTTACATGATATCCACAGTAACATAATCCTAGCAAGAAAACACAAATGAGTGCTATAAAGAAATTATCAGTATTATCCTCTTCTGCGTCTGGCTGTTGGTACAACGAATCATAAGGATTGCGGGAAGGTGGGTCTTCCACCCATGTCTTATCTACACTCTGCAAAAATAAAATTAAAAATAAACACTAAAGCAAGCACTCTAATTATAGCTCCATTTTCATCACTAACATCATAAGCCTGTAATTATTGTACTGTTAAAACGACATTTTCTTACACAGAGAAGGAATAAGCATTGATCAC